GCTGAAACTTTAAGGGAATGTTCCCCACTCATGTACGAGCAAAATCAGGTGTTTAGAAGTACCCGGGGGCCACGTACAGGCACATGGAAATTTTGGCACGAAAATCACTAACTCAGGAACGAAAAAAGCTAGAAGGCTGGAACTTTAGGACAATGTTCCCTACCCATGTATGACCAAAAGATTTTAAATTCAGCTCCTTAAAACCGCCCAGTAATCACGTACGGACACGTGAAAATTTTGGTGGGAAAACTGTCAATTCGGGAACAAGATAAGCTGAAGGCTTTAATATTAAAGAAACGTTCCCTACTTATGTGCGACCAAAAGATTTCAAATTTAACTGTTTTCTAGTGTGGCCTTTTTTGCGGACCAGCACCTTTCCATTCGCCGGGTCACTGAAGCCGACATCTACAACTGACATACCACATAGTTGCACGATTGACTTCCTGAACTTTGAGGGCCAGTGTGTCACAGGGTTAGCTACTGTGATTCCTTGCGATCTTGCTGCGGCACGAGAAGGGCAAAAACGCATAATCGCGCCGGCATGCCTGGTGCGTTCCAGCGTGAGTTTTTTTTCCAGAATGACTTTTATGCTTGATTATTCTGCTTTAAAAAGGGTGAAACTCGCTGTTTCGAGTTTAGGTCATCGATGCGCCTGTCCAGGCGTCAGCGAAACAACAACCAGAACGCAGCTGACGAAGAATCTGTTATATCGGCTATGAAGGACGAAATGCTTGATGAAGGCTCAATAACTGAAAATACTTTGCTCGCTATTTCGCCTCTCCGTGCTCCAAATGGTTTCCAGCTTTAGCTCTTCGTTCTTTTCAGTCTACAAGTAATATTGACACTTGCGCTGTTTTGCAAACTTTTACAAACATTGTCTTTAGTTAATTACAAAAAGATTGATAATTAAGTTCTGACACCGTCTAGCCCCAAATTTTATTGCTTCGCCGATGTCCCCAAAGTGTCGAAACGAAAGGACCTTGTTTTCCTCTTCTGTACCGCTGTGTTGAAGGCAGTGACATGTGGATGCGAATTGTTTCACCAATGAAAGCTGAAAAATGTGCGCTGGCTGTGAAGAAGAAAGTGATGAAGTGAATGCTCAGGGTGTTTTCCCCCTACCGTATATAAACAGACTCACCGTCAAACGAGTCTCTCTTTCCATCTCATTTTATAGCTTGGCACATCAAAGTGACTGTGCATCTCGCAGAAAGCGAACCCTTCAACTTTTCGATATTATTGGAAGCATTACTTTATCATTTAAACATTGCTAGAAGCAAGAAAATATTTATCAAAATGTGCTTACACCCTCTGTTTCTAAAGCGTTCATCCAAATAATTACTAAAAGTCGCTTAAAAACCGCTTAAAGCCTCCACCAGTGTTTATTGCATTCATCCAAATAATTACTAAAAGTTTCCTTCAAGTATTTTTGATAATCGAAAACGCTGTCGCTTCAGGTGCCCAGTCATCCTGTTTGAGTGCTAACTATTTCACTTGTTATGCAAGTTTCTGAGAGAAATTTCACGCCGAATTCTTATCTTGAGATTAGCCGGTCTTTCTTTGGTGTTGAGAAAGCACTCACTTTATGGATGAATTAATTACAGATTTGCCTCTGTCAGCAATTTTTACGAAGCCCACAGCGAATGAACTGAAAAGGAAATACGCAATGGACAAAGATAGTCTGCTGGATCGAGTTATAGATCTTGGCGAAGTGGCTATTGATTCCGCCCCATTTCAACTCGTCCTCGGCTCATCGCTTTATAAGGCAAGTTAGCAAGCTTGTTGAGGCAAACGTACGTCACAAACATGACATTTGCGAACAGTATTTCGCATTAATTTTTCTTCCTGCTTTGGGAAAGATGGAAGAACATCAACCGCAGACACAGTCAGCCAAACGCTTCTTCACTATTCTGCACCAGGCAAACAAACTTAAGGCGGTTGTTCTGGCAGATTGTTATTTACAAAGCGCAAATTAAAGTATCAGAACGAAAATAGTAGAAATGGTGATTAAGTGAAGAAAAGACATGAAATTAATATAGATATCCAGCGTCAACGGACCTACAAGCTACAACTCAAGGCTGTAAGTGGCAATGGCATTCAGCTGTAATCCAAACGGTAGC